GTCTCTTATACACATCTAGATGTGTATAAGAGACGGGAGAGAGAGAGAGAGAGAGAGAGAGTACAGGTTGTACTTGCGTAAAGTGTAGTTGCTTCAATTGTACATGAGTGATTAGGCTGATGACCGAAGAATAACTAAGAGAGAGGCTCAAAGGCGACCTCTCATGGGATTTGAAGTTTGAACACATGATACAATCTCAAAATTTAGTAAATATCAGAAAGAAAGGAAGAAGCAAAGTCTGTCAGGATCGGATGTTTTCACATCCTACAATAGTGTGCGGATACTCGGAATTGTGTTTCGTGCCTTTGGTAACCAGTCTGATCAGATCGACATTCCGTCAAAGCTGGGTAGACAAGAAATTGAGCAGGTTAGGTCAGCAAAATGGCCAACCAAAGTGCTGCATCAGGGTCCAATGCTCAGAGTCTGCCTACCAGTTCAGTAGGAAATGGAAGCGCTGGTCCTAGCATGCGCCCAGCCACAGCAGCCCAGCCTGGCAGATCAGGTGGTGACGAGGACCACCGCCCTTCGCGTGAAAATGGAAAGCGAGCTAGCAGTCCTACCAGAGTTAGAAAAGAAAGTGCTAGATAGAAAACCCTTGTCTATCAAGTCCAATAGAGAGGTGTTTGAAGACACTGGCTGAGAGTAGACACAGTGATAGTGAAACGTTGCTGTCGGAGAATTTTATTGGGCCTCCTGAGGCAATGCACACAATGGAATGCAAGTGACTCCATACGTTCAGCCTTAGATAGTATGACCAGTATGTTGTCAAACTCGACACACGAAAGAGCAGTCCCCTCTACAGCGGTCTACACTGTCCGACCTCTACCTGGACCCCAGCCATGTGTTCAGCAGAGTGTTTTACCGGCCATGTCCCAGGCGTTTATTCCTCAGTTTGGCATACTCCCAACCAGTGGAGAAGATGCATCCCAGGTCTCTGTACAGCCTTCTTCATTTCGTATGTCGGCCACTACAGGGCCGACAGCAGTCTCCGCACCTGCAGAGTCTCTGGCCCTTGTAGGACCATCACCACCTCGGACGTCTGTCAAGACGTCCTCGGTCCAGCTGGCTGTGTTCACAGGTGACAGGAAAGATGAGACGCTGGACACACGTGGTTGAGATCTGTTGCTGTGTACGTAAAGATGGCCCCTCAAAAGGGTCAGCACAAGGTCAAGAAAAACCCAAGCCCGTAGGACTGCCAGGATGGGTACGGGAGGGGCTTGAGAAAAGTGTCTCTGAAGACTGATGCTACTACACGGGCAAGTGTATGAAATGCGGTGAGGCAGCGCATATAAGGAAGCGATGCCTGAAGAAGAGTCCGAGAAACCTGACCAGCCTGTAGTAGACACAAGCGGTTAACATGGACTCCCACTTTTCAGCCCCGGTTAGCCCTCCCAGCCTTTTTGGGAATTTTGGGGATAATTTCTTTCAGCCTTTTTTTTTTTTTTTTTTTTTTTTTTTTTTTTTTTTTTTTTTTTTTTTTTCGGTCCTTCCCCTTATCCCTTTGTGTGTGGAAGGGACGGAGATGGGACGGGCTGGGTTAGACACCCCCCTCGACCTCTTAGACTACAATGGCGATGACAACTGTTACCCCTCAGTCGCAATTTGACCAGGAGATGGTTTTTTTTTTTTTTTTTTTTTTTTTTGGTTGCAAAAACATCCTGCTGCATCCTGCGGCCCCGGAGCGGTAAGAGCGCCACCAGGGTCGAGGGGCTTTAGCAGTTGGCTCCCATCTATTGGTGGGGAGCAGCACCTGCAGGAAACCGGGTCCCTGACCAGGAGATGTTTTGTTCTCGCATCGTGACTGAACCTTAGAACAGGTAGAACTGTCACGGAAAAATCTTGCGGCTTCTGGGGTAACAATGCCAAGGGTCCTGAGGGTGAGTTGTTTGTGGTGGAGCTCAATATTGATGTAGGATGCCGTAAAGCAGGGGCATTAGCAGACATCGGCGCCACCTGCAGTTACATCAATCACGCTTGTGGCGAGAGGCTGCGCTTAGGGGACCCTACCGTAGTAGTAGCTGAGTAAACCCGAAGTATCTACATGACCCAACAAAGCAGCGGATTGTTGGAAAAGACTGCATCAACGAAGTTTACATCAATCACGCTTGTGGCAAGAGGCTGCGCTTAGGGGACCCTACCATAGCAGTAGCTGAGTAAACCCGAAGTATCTACATGACCCAACAAGCAGCGGATTGTTGAAAAAGACTGCATCAACGAAGTTGTTTGCACCTTCTTCCACGGGGAAGGCAAGAGATCAGGCACAAATTGTCTTTTAAAGTGAGTGACGTAACTCCCATTCGATATGATCCTCTAGGAAGGTACTACTTCGAAGTTGCTAAGCCTCAGTTTGAGTGGGACTTGAAGACTACGATATACAAGATCGTTGAGGGAAGGACTGTCCTTCTGAAGAAGTATTCGCTCCATAACTCGTGAGCTAGTGCGTTCTTCAATTTCTATAGGCAGAACAAAGGAGAGGGTAAGTTCTGAGTACTTGTGTCTCCAAAAGGGAAGGCTGCAAAGACCCCTGAAGATAGCACGAGTTGTCACCAAGTATCCAGACCTGCAGGAGGAACCTGTGGAGTTGTAGACAGGGAGATTGTCCACAAAATAGGAAGGTGATATTGCATGCGTTTGACCGGGTCAACCAAAGGCTGGGCATTTTTTCTAAGCTGAATGGCCCAGGGCTTTGTTTTTTGTCTGATTTCTAAAGGACCAGATATTGTTTCTAAGCTGAATGGCCTGGTTGTTGTGTTTATTTATGAGGGCTTCCCAAGGAGTATAAAACCCGAAGGCAAGATCTATAGGATGTGTCCAGCAAAGTTAGTTGAGCAGCGTAAGCAACCAAACGAACTCACTAACAAGTGATGGATCAGGCCAAGTACTTCATCTTATTGCTCGCCAACTTTGTGCATGCCTAAGAGGGAAGGTACCATGAGGATGTGCACTGATTATTGGGGTGTCAATGCCATCATAGTGTGTAATGCGGAGCACCTACCCCACATCGCTGACCTCTGGGTGAATCAACACAAGACAACATCTCAAACAAACCTGGTATGGCCTGCACGAGTTTATAGTTGTGATGCCTTTTGGACTATGTGATGCACCCAGGACATTCCATCACGGCACGAATGGAGTTTCATCAACTTTCATGACTATTTAGGTGAGTTTGTAGTCGTGTATCTTGACGATGTTCTTTAGTAAGAATATGGAGCGAACATGCACAACACTTAGACATTGTTCTAGAGCTCCTTTGGAAACGTAAGTATAAGACTAAAGCGGAGAAGAGCGAGTTCGGCCGCACTAGAATCTTGTACTTGGGTCATGAAATCTCTTTGTAAGGTTCGAAACCGGAGGATGCAAAGGCAATGGCCATTAGGGACTGGCCGTGGCCTTGGTCTGTGACTGAGATCAAAGTCGTCAAACCATCTTGGGGATGACAAGCTACTACAAACTATTCGTGAAGAATTACAGTAGCATATCTGCCCCCTTGACGAATCTTACTCAACTTGACACCCCGTGGGGATGGGAGTAAGCAATGTGAGTGGGCTTTCAAGAAATTGAACTCCACCCTCAAAGCAACACCCTGTCCTGAAGATTGCACATCCAGATTAGCCGTTTATCATCCCTCCTGCCACTAGTCAATATCGGATAGACTAATTACATCAATTAGAGGGGACAAAGTGGTGGAGATCAATCGTGTCTATGTCTAAAAAGATGTCGTTTCGGGAGTTGGCAAACTCAACCTATGACAACCTATGACAGGGAGCTGTATGCACTTTACATGGCGTTGAAACAATGGAAGCAGCATCTCCACGCCAAACGTTTTGAAGTCAGATCCGACCATGAGACGCTCCATGGATCAAGACGCAGCCCACACTGACGCACTGAAAAGATGGATGCAAGTCACAAACATATATGACTTCACACTTAAGCATGTCAAAGGGCAACATAACATGGTATTTGTTGCAATGTTGAGAAAGCGCAGACTTCCTTGGGTTGCCAGTTACTGAGTTCGAGTTAGAAAGGGCTGTGAAACATCAGCACATGGTAGATTCTTATGCAGGAGACTGCGTCATCAACGAATCATCTTACGACGTACTGCACAAGATAGAAAGGTGTGTGAGGAGTAACCCACTTTGGACTACAAGCTTTTTTTTCATATGTCACACACACACACACACACACACACACACACA